AATAATTTATGATTTAATGAAATATTTATTAGAATCATGTCACAGTTCTATTTCGATCGAAATGCTTTGCATTTTGTTTTATTTGCATACACTTCGTCCTAAGCTGCATATAACTATCCTCCTCGTTACACTTGTCCCCGAGAGCGTAACGCTGCAATAGGTTAGCCACTTCGAATTTTATGCAAATACTTATAACAAAGACATTAAAGTTTCATGTTTTGTTGTATGTACTTGCCAGGATGGATTCGTAATTTCCGCTGCAAGATGAATATGGCTTTTTGATGTGTTGTAGGTAACGCCGTTCAATAATTTAAAAAGGTAGAATTCTTATGTTTTTCTTTATTAAAATGCCAACTTTACAACATACTTCTAAATATTCGCCTTGAAAATAATCGCGATAACCTAATTGCAATGTCAATAGCTAATGAATAAAGTCCGCTATTACTGACGTTGTGCCTGAACGAGTTTGACTTGACGACGAGTATAGCTTAATTATCCGCTTCTATATAGTACCTTTTACTGAATTATGGGTATACCATGTATATATTTAAGATCGTAAGCGTAGTTTAGAGCATAGTGCTTATGACTTTATTAATTAATGGTATGAGAACAGTTACAGATTGTAAGACTGCGTTTATTTACACAAGTAAGGAAAGGATATAGGAAAGGTTAATTTTACGAAAACTAATCCGGTTAACTTTTCATCAAACCAAATTATTTCATCGCTTTTCTCATTGTGTATATATACTGTTTTCTTTAGTTAATCCGTTTATGCATAATTCACGTTGGTTATTGACTTACAAAAGCTAATACAATATCTTATCTTACAATGCCTCTTCAAGAGCAGAAGTAAACTATTGTGAAACATATGTTCATACTCTAGCAGACTCTGAACCCAAAACAGCTTGAATTCATTCTTTGAAAATCAGTTGAAGTTTGAACTTAAATTTTGTCGCTTTCTCTTTCCTTTTTCGATGCTTAAATGAATTTAAATTACAAACAAAAACAAAATCTTAATTATTCCCAAGATTCTTACAACGGAGAGGCACATCACAGGTCAGCTTGGGATTAAGGTTCACACTTTGATTGCTGTGATCTCTTTAATTTAATATTAATATAATATTTCTTTTAAATACACACAAACGCACTTATAATACAACTCATAATTGTTGGCCTATCAGTTTTTTCATTTGATCGCATTTATGTGTTTGTCATCGATGTCTTAAGGGAAAATCAATCAAATTATGTACGTTTCGATTGATCTAGAATTCGTAGGGAATTTAATAGTTATCAGTTTCGGAGATATCGAAGCTTCGTCCGCTGCTGTTGTTTGATCTCTTTTTTGATGGATAAGAAATAAAAATAAAATAAAAATTCCCTTATAATGTTTACTTAACCAAAGGAGACTTGATGAAGATCTGAAAAGATAAATTCAGCCTAGTTTTAAACCTAACTGAGGATGCTTTGTTCAGTACGATGTATTTTAGAAATATAGTTCGTTAGGAAACTTACCGAGCGTGCTAGTATGATTTGTGCCAAAACAATTGCATACTCGCTGTACATATTTTAATTTAAATACTGTTAAATTGTTTACAAGATAGTGAACAAACTGATGGCACTGCCTCGTCATAAGAGTGCGTGGCTCAAAGAGCAACTAACGTTATGTGAATACGAAATGAGTAGCGTGAATGTTTTATTGTATTGTTGTTGAAAAACGTTAACCAAGTTTCGCTCTGCTCGATTTATATATAAATAAACTATATCAACTTTTGCATATATTTGCTTTTTTGTTATGAGGGGGATGTACTGAATAAAAATTGTGTTTATTTTTTAATTCAATATTCAATATTCGTTTTTTGTTTTCGCCTTTTAGCAAGTGAAATACACAATTAATTTGATGTATAAATCGTTTACAAAAATTAAAGGAGAACATTTTTCAAATGTACATAAGTAAAAAATGGCCTTAGGGTTATTAGGCTTAAGTAGGTTTTTTTTTTTCTTTCTTTTTTGCTTTACGTAGATCTTCAAGAAAGGAGGTCAAGAAATTATGTTTTACATAAACACAATATGAATAAGCAGAAAATGCTTGAGTGCATGTTGCATGCTATTATTGTAAAAATTAAATAATACATAGAGTGGCACAATTTACTATATTTGTTGAGCGCGAAGGAAGATCTAATTGATATATTACTTATTTAGAGAGGTTTGCATGCCCAAGTAAATGTAAATAGAAAATTTACAAAAAAATTTTCTATCCTTTGTCCGGATGCTTGGGCAACAACTGTATTTACTCTAAGAGAGTTCCTTATTGTCTTGAGTCGATCTACTGATCAGTTAATTCTCTTATATTCACGTTTTAAAAGAATAAAAATTTTACAAGCAATAGACATTTCGAAAGTCGTCCTTTCGCGGCCACTACATAAGAAATTGTAAAAATTATAATTAAATAAAGTAGTAAATCTTCCCATCGAATATTTTTTTTATTACTCTTAAGTTTGCGCAATTTGCCTTGTATAAAAGATTTTTTAAAAAATAATTATAAAAATTTTCTTGTGCTTTTTTAATCTACTATAGGACAAGGATCAGATACGCATACCGGAGGAAACTGAACTTAATTCAAAAACTGCATTGTCAAGCACAAGTGGCGTTGATAACAGTCACAATAATGGCACCGATAATGTGGAAGATAATAGTCAATCCGCTCAAACGGCCAATGGCAAAAGCATAGCGGATGAGCGAAATACCAAAGATGATGCCACTTGATTAACTTGCTTAAATATCATTAAGTACTACAAAATTAAATTAGGCTAATGTATAAATTAAAAAAAAAAAACAAATAAATAAATAAACGGAATTACATTAAAATGATTAAATTTAAATAAAGAAACCATATGTTGTTGTGCCAGATTTGATTATCCGCCATTTAAGGTTAGAATATTAAGAATAACTTGCCAAAGAACTTTTCGTAATAACTTCATTATTAGTCAAGTTTAAATTTGCTATTTCTGCTCACTATTTCATGCAGCAAGGAAACAATTTATATTTGCCTTAAAAGAATCGTTGATGTCTATCAACTCATTAACTATTGAGTATCTCATCTTGAGCAATGTTTTCTTCTCGTAACTGTGGATGTGTTAGTTAACCGATCAACACGGTTTTTTAATCGAAGACGGAGATAGGCGTAACGAAAATTTTGATGGCAGGTTCTTCAAAATATTTTCAAGTGATCGAAAGTTGTACACCAAAATGTGAAGAAATAATCGACCTTTCCTCGAGTCTCTAATTTATTGCGAGTGAATATGTGGACAAATCAACCCATTTTTTAACCATGGTTTTTCACTCGATCAAGGAATACTTGTGCCGAATGTCAGCTTCCTGTTCTCGCCTTTGAGACTGTAACAATTCCCCAAAAAAAGCGGGTCAAAACGATGCCATAGAAAACCTGGCAGTTGGTCAGAAGAAAGGTGTATCTTGTTTTTAATGTTGCTTCAGGATATTCTTTTCCATTTTCTTGCGGTTATATTTTATATTTATCATTTATTTATAATGTAAAAGCACTTCCATATTTAAAAATGGTTTTACAGTTATCTTAAGTATAAAAAGAAATCTAATAGAAGTTAAATTCAAAATTATCACCTATCTCCAGGTGGGTAGCAAAATAGATCTATATATGCAAAAACCTAAAACCGATCTAATGATGAAGTAATAAATTTTGCTCGTTTTTCCCTGAGTTCGAAGTTGTTGAACTAGCTGGCTCTCCGTCTCTCTTCTTCGTTACAATGATGTTCTCGGCCGATCTAATGTTATTATAAAAATTAAATCGTATTGGATTTTCTATTCAAGATAAACGATTTACTTTTACAATCCACTTTCACGCGCGCCTATTTCAGTGTCCAGATGAAAGAGCTACCAAGCCAAAGTAAAAGTCTTCCACTTATATCTGTATCACGTGGGATTCCTGGAATTAATCTCAAACATTATCGCCACATGTAGAAATGTTGTGCAGCCTTTATGGAAGTTATCTTTTACAATTTCTGAGGCATAACACTGAAAAATACACCTCGCACCTGTTTTTCTGCCCACCTATATATCTTTCTTTCCATATTCGGTAGCGATAGTAACTGCTTAAAAGAAAAAAAAAAAAGAAAAAATTCCTAAAACCACAAATTTAAATAAAAGTATTTTAATGTTAAAATCCGGTAATTATGAAATTATGTAATTAAAATTAAGGTGAAATTAATGAGAGAAATTTATTATCATAGTAAGCTTAATTGCGTTAAAAAATAACGGTAATCGAAACGGATTATAACATATGAAATATTGGTTTGTATAAATAACATTTCATTTTACTTCGAAATCCACATTAATTTTTATTGGTTCTATTACCTCTGAATCTTATGTATATTATATGTACATTTACATAAATATATATACATATAAATACATACATATATATGCATAGGTGTATGTATATAGTTTTCTTTACAAAGTTGGAAATGAGATAAGCGAATTGAGAAAATTTTCGCAATTTTGCAATTAAAATTGAAATTGATTGAAAGATGTAGTAAGACTTGATTTTGTTTACTTCTCCTGCAAATTAATTTGGTCAGCTTTATTTCAGTTATTTATCGATTAATCACTTTTTCATAATTTTCATTTTTAACTAATTGTAAGCATTTAAAATTGATATCAACCTAACTGCAAAGTTTTGCTTTCGCATCCCAATTTTTGGGATTGCAGGATCTCGATGGCCTGCCGTCTGGATGGACGAGAGAGAGAGGGCGAGAGAGAGAGAGAGAGAGAGAGAGAGAGAGAGTGTTATGCAAAAATAGCCAAACCCACTTAGAGTATTAAGTTGATAAGGAATATGTATATTCTATGGAAACTTCAATGTCTGTCGTAATAAATTCCTCAATAATGATGACAAAGCAAAAGAACAGATTGCTACGCATTCCTCTCCAAAATTAAGGGATTTTTAAAACTATTTAGCATGATTTTCTCAAGCGACCTTCTAAACGGCACTTGAAAACAATCAAATCTAGTCGTTAGACCTTCGAATGTGTTGAGGTTGGGTAAGTTGGAAAGTCCGCACTCTGTGAATGAAGGTGTATGAAGTTTTTAATTCAGCTGCTTTTTAAAAAGTCAGAAAAGGTAAGTTTGTGAATATTCTGCCGTGCGAAGTGATGGTAAGTTAACTGTATAAACGCGAAAGACATTCTGTCTGTTGTATAATTGTTTTCTTTCACACGGTTGCTATATTCCCAAACTTTATTTAAGGTTATGTCGACTTATGTCTTCTAAATTCTTTTGAGATATAAGAGAGATACGGGATACCGTGATGTGTGATATTGATTGTGTGAATTTGAACAGAATGTTGGACTATGGCCACCACTATGGTCTTGTAATAGAGCAGCAAGTAACCACAAGTTTAAAAATAGTATTTTCAAAGAATTGGTGACGATTACGGTTACAATTTGTTAACTACAAATTGTTCTATTTAACAGGTGTTGATCAATTTATGCAAATATATATTTTTTCCTTTGTGACTTTTAATTTCCTCATTTTGTATAATAATAATAATAAAAAAAAAAAATGGTAATAATAATAATAATAACTTATACATATGAAATAATCATAAAGAGCAACGGAATAAAATATTTTTAATATAAATTTACATTCCTTTTTTTTCATATGGTTTGTTATCATGGGATGATTACAAATTATAAGCGAGTTTCACGCTCAAAGTGATATTTCGGTTTTTATTTGAATCAAACAAGTCAGGCAAAAAAGTTTAATTTGCTTAAAATCCCTCTCTCTCTCTAGAACGTAGACTCCATTGTCTCTTGATTTTGCTAAAGTTATGCATAATTTCAGGGAAAACTTGAAATTCATTAAATTTAGCGGTTAGAACTTGACCGCATTTATTGAAAGGATTCTTTGGTGCATTTACCTATTCATCTTTGTTAAATCCATTGCCAAAATTTAAATTTAATTAATACCTTTGCAGTAACGGGATGGTTTTAACTGTGAGTTTAATTTAATTTAGTCTTTTTTTTTTCTCATTTCGTCAGCGCAATTGCGTTTTGATTGACCCAGTTACAAGAGCGCATCAATGCTGGCGAGTAAAGAGAAAAGTGATGTTTGATACGTGTATAATTAACCGCAATTGTGAATGGTGATGCACTTACATTACATTACATTCATAGTTGACTGACCATTAAATTAAATGTTCATTTTTTTTAGGCGACAACCAGTACTATATTAAATATGACTGACATTTAAGATGATCATACGACATGACATTTTATCTACTTTTCATGAAATTTTCATGAAACCGTTTAATTCTTTTCATTAAAAATTATAATTATTTCATGTAACATATAAAACAAGTCGAAATGGAGCGAATTTTATTTTGATAATACATATACATATATAGGTTTTAATTTTCTAATTTAAAGGGATTTATTAGGTTAAAATGCCACCTGATGCGACGTATTATGCGCATTGCTAAAATTGCTTTTTAATGTAGACTTGAATAATCTGAAAATATTTATTAACTCTAATCGGATCATGTGTTTTTGTAACAAATCATAGCACGATGAGCCTCACAGGCTCATAGTCAGTAAGAATAGCTTATCTTGTTTGTAGCTTACTATTTATCTATTTATAACATGAAACATTAAACGCATGCCGTATGTATATTTTTTTGATTTACCTTAAAAAATAAAAAAGTAAAAAAGGTAAAAAAATTGCACCTTTACATCCACTACACTCATCCCAAAAAAAGATTAAGAAAAGCAATGAGCAATGAACTAGCCTTCCTTGCTCAATAATACTCAATGGGCCTGGCTGAGTATTTCCATTTTTGTGGAATGTGCATGAAAATTTGTATCGTGCGCCTATTGCAGTCTATAAGTGCCGACCAAAAAATTCAGAAAGCAAAGGTATTGTAAATTGATAAATGTAAGTAGCTTAACGTTGACGATTGTTGTGTGAGGATTATAGGCAACGATGCCCATTTTTTTTTGCAGAGCCTAGGAGAGAGAAATGCTGACGTGGACGTAGAATGTATACATAGTTGGCAAAGACCAATTGTTCGTGAAAGTAAAGCAAAGCCGGTTTCGAAACAGTGTACCTAAAATTCATAAGAATCCTAGTTAACAAGGCAACTGCGCTATAGCTAAGGAAAAAATGAAAAAAAGAAGCTGTTGCTAGGGAACTGATCAATGGAGTATAGACGATAATGCATATAGATAATGCAAACGTAAACTCTGAATCTGTAGCCTTCTCGTCGGGAGGCGTTCCTGTTCAACTGAATTTTCAATTTCATTTCGGTTTTAGCGTCGACTGTAAGACATGATGCGCGAATTTCTCGAAACTACCTGCGGGAGATTTCTATTACTTTTAATTCAATTCGGAGTTATAAGTCACCGATGTGCCTAATTCCTAAGATCGTTGTTATTTGTTCCTTTCGAGTTGTTAACGTTAGGCTCGGATAAGAACGCAGTTCTCTCTTCGCTACACCTTCGCCTGCACTGTACCGCAAACGGTATGAAACGTATACAGCGAACTCTTGTTTTTTCACAGTTTTTTTTTTTACCTGATTTTGAAATAACGCTGTTTATCAATAAGAATAAATTCATTACTTTACACGCCATTTTCGTTCCAGCATGAATTCCAACAAAATTTTTTTCTTAAAATCTAAACTTGTCTATACAGCAACAAAATACATTTGGAGGAATACCGTGAATAGAAGTCGTTCGTTTTATACCTCTGCATGTGTTAGCGGCTTGGTCTAGTACGGATAATATCCAAACTTTATGATTATTCAATGATTGTAATCAAATCCATCAGTTGTGGTAAACATATCTGATATACCTCCTAATGGTAGCATTTTTGATGCAGTCCGTAAAAAACATTCAAACTCATTCTTAAATGACGGACAACAGTTACGAAATTGATGTTTATTTTTAATTTCAGTTCCAATTTATATATGTACGTATATATGTATATGCATTTGTGGACTGAATTTTTACCGTACACTAACTTAATTTCTTTTTAATAAAAGTGGATTGTTTTTATTTTATAAATATGCAGTAGAATATTTATTATTATTGTTTTTTTTGCACGGTTTTGTTTAGGCAAATATTTAGAGGTTTTCAATCTTAGAGAATTTTTTAAAGTTGCCGGACATATCCCTAAGTTCACCGTTTGTCGGATGTGTATTTCTACACGACTTTTTTGTGCGATTTTTTAAGGGAAGTATCTACCGTGTAAAAAATGAGTTGAGTGTACGATTAAAATTTCATTAGCTCACTGCATCCGAACATCAGCTTTGATGATTTATTAATGGTAATCTACTAACAGTTTGCGTCGTCAAAATATATATACATATATATATATATATATGTATAAACATTATATAATGTTTAAGAAAAAATAAAAAGGAATTGAAAGAAAAGAACGGAGACCGCGCATATCTTTTAGTTTTCAGCTTTCCTAATTATTGTTTGCATCGTTGAGAATGCGAAAATTTCAGAAAGGCAAAGAAGTTAATTGATTTGAAATGTCATGTTAAGCGCTAAAGCGTCTCGGAAAAGCATTTGTTAGTTTTCTAAAACAGTTCGCCCTCATAAAGAAACATGTCATCGAATAGACACAATTTTAAATACACATGACTCACAATTTGTCCCTTTATAATCTTGTTGTAATGAAAAGACAATGAAAGTTTTTATTTATGTATTATTTTATTGCAAATAATTTTAATAGTTTTGTCTTTTATTATGTAAGCGTTTATTTTGATCAATAATTTACACGAGAACATAAAATGAACAAATGAATCGTTAGAGAAAAATCGAAACAGAAAATTTTCGCAAATTCTTAATCTTCACTGTACACAGTTACATAAAAATCATAAACATTTAACTGGTTTTATTCTCTTATCCTAAAATTTCTTGACTTAAATCTTAAAAAACCATCTTACAAAATGTATTATCCATTTCAATATAATTCATGTATCATTTATAATTAATTTGTATTAATTTTTTCCTTTTATTTGTGTTTTGTCGTTAAAGGTTTATCTTCCTTCTTCTTTTTTTTGTTTTGTTTTTGCTTTTGTTTTTTTTTTTTCTTTAATTCTTTCATTTTTGTATTTTTTCAATAAATTATCTAAGAAAAATTCAATAGAAAATAATTTGTTTTAAGTTATATAATGCTATCGCATCAGTATGTCATCTAATTTTCGAATTAATACCAATTTGTATTATATATATTAAATGGAATTAAAAATTACATCGAACATAAACGGAAGAGAATTTGATTTTTACCTTTTATTCAGTTTAAGCGTTAAAATTTTATTTCATTTTTTTTTTTTTTTTTTTTTTTGTTATTTTTTCGTTCATTTTAATCGTAAATGAAATAATTTGATTTTGCTACATTTAAACTTTGTGTTATCCGCTGTTGTTCGCCAATGTTCAGTTTTCCTTTCTTTTTTTTTTTTTTTATTAACTCAATATTTTCTGTATACTCTATGGTTTTTATCATTTTTTTTTTTATCGTTTTTTCTTTTTTTTTTTTTTTTTGGTTTATTTTTAACTTCATCAACACGAGCGAGCAGCCTTAAATCAATAAGAACGTTTTTTAAATTTTACTAACCAACTATCTGTAGTGTTGGTAAAATGGCCAATAGCACCAATGCGATTACCTCCACCGGCGCCACTGTAACCACTACTCACATTGCGACTACGTTCGGTAAGCGTTAGTGTGTTTCACTGTATTAGTGGTGAGTGTTGAGAATTTTCGCTAAAATCTACCGTATAATACATATCGTTTTCCAAGTTCATGGCCAGATGCCGCTGAAAGGGTCTCTCATGCAATTGACCAATTTGCTGATGATGAGCTGTTGCCGTTGTTGATGATGTTGAAGCGGACGTATTTGCGGTCGTCAGGTGACCACTTTGCAGACGTGTTGCGTTCGTCGATGTTGCGGATGTACGCAATGGATTACCGCCGCCACCACCAGCATTTACTCCCTTGCCACTTAACCAATGCTTATTGAATTTATTTTGAATTTTCGGTCGCCTTCCGAAACCCAATATAGGTAAGAAGCCGGATGTGCGTGTAGAAAACTTACGGTAAGTTTGATTTACTTTACAGTGACAGATAGTAAGCTGTATGGGTATACAACAAGAACAAAAGATGTTAAAGTGTTTCGTTTGGTTAAAAGGAACTAACTTAAATTCAATAAATATAAGAACAAATTGAAACTTCTACGGAATCATTTAAATTTATTTTTCACCTAAGTCATAGAATTAATGATTTCATAACCACTGCGTAAGAAACGAGCCAACTATGTAAAAGGCTAGGTATAATATTATAGGTAAACGTGAGATCTTGAGTCGATTCACCCCATAGAAACCTTTTGTTTGATAAGCTGAAATACTGTAGTCGAGTATGGCCGCTATTTAGCCTAAAACAACTCGCCACTTAGTTTCGCCGTAAAAATTCAATCATAGCTCCTTGTTGCTAAATAGAAGGTTACTTTTCATGACATCTCTTATTCGAGGAGACATGTCTATTCAAAGCTTTCTTTTCGAAAAACAAAGGATACTTGATGAAATACTTACAGGAAGACACACAAAAAATATAACGATGATCTCTTGCTATCTTCAAACAATGTGAGTTGTTCAAAAATCGAATAGTTTAGTATAGGAAATTTTTTGAAAGATGGCCTTGAAATCCTTGTTGCTCCGAATTTGCTTTCCTTTCTTTTTTTTTGACATGACTCACTCAGGGGATTGTTCCGTATTCGCGTAACACGGCCACGGTCAGGAAGAAAAGGAGGAAAGAAAACGAAGTAGAGAGATGGCGGCCGCAGTTCAGGGGCTGTGTGCTCAATCGGCAAGAGTTATGCCTTTACCGAGTGACCACTCACTATAGCTGCTTCGAAAGAATACTTTACCTCACTTGACATTTGAACCCACTCACACATTTTTGGTAGTCGCAGTTCTTACCATATCTCCTGAAATATATGCAATGGTCAGAGTAAAGAAAGATTTCCTCTGCGTTAACATAAAATGAGCGACTTTACCGTTAAGAGAGTTTCGGACTATGGCAAGTGTTAAGCGAGAAATTTGTTCTGTATCAAAAATGTCGACAAAAATCTTTATATAGTCCACCTGCGAAATATCCTAATATAAATTATACATCATTTGCCTGCTTTGGATTGTAGTCTCCTGTTTTTTTTTTTTTTTGTTTGCGCAATTAATTATATTAAGAATAATAATAGCTTTAATCAACATTAAGTTAATTTTAGCATTATTTGCTCGCCCCCATTAACAGTGCGTATGTTGCTTTGTTTTGTTCTACCCGGGTAAGGTTGCATTTGGCATCAATTCAATGTTGTTTAACGTACGTAAAATTTAACATTTTCCACCAAATATTTTTGAAAAAATTCAACTGAGTAATGGATATTAGCTCTGTTTTTCCCTGTGCATAGGAATAATAGGAATAATTGAAACGAATAATGACATTTTCACCGCCTGGAAACTGATTGACTTTTAGATTATCCAATGATTCACTTGTACTTATTTGTTAAATTATTCATTGTTTGAATTAAGTTTGATCAAGCAGCGGTGACATTGCCAGAATACAATGTACAATCAGCTGATGATTACCATTCCGTTGTATGGATATGAGAGCATTACCTAAGCCACTTCATAAAATAATATATAGTAGAAACATTATAGTTGGGCAAGGCCGACTTAAGTCTTTCACATCACTTGAACCGATACATTTTTTCATATATTATCGTACCAGACAATTGTGTATACATCCAACTGCTTTTTTACACGGATAAGAACAAATAGATGTTTTGACACGAACTTCTTGTTCTTTAGCTCATTATACGGCAACTTGAACGCAACATTTCGCTACGCAGTATTTCATTTGTGTCAGAGTGTTCATTTCTTAGGATGCAATAAATAATTTCCCTAAAGTGCCAAAAGTTGATATTCATTTGCTGATGGTCTACAGCGTAATGAACTTGCACGCGATGAATAGTTCTGAATTTGTTTTTTTTCCCTTATTTCAATCTGAGTTCTTATATGTTCCACTTACGAACTGTAATATCACTCTACACTAATCTTAATATTTTTTTGTTATAAAAACGAATTGTTTTTGTGTAATAAGGAAGGAAATAATATGGATTTCATTACTATTTTTTTTGCACGGTTTTTTTGAGAAAATATTTGGAGGTTTTTCATCTTGAATGATTTTATAAAGCTGGCATTTTATGGGGAAGGGTTCAAAAAATTGGCCCAACCAATGGAGACAAGCGATGTAGTTACAAGTGTAAATATTTGTTCATGGTATGCATAAACTACAATGTAAAAGCATTGCCTAAAACTTCAGTTGGTATATCAGGCTTTTTCCGCGAAGGTGCAAGGATTGCAAGGATTTCGGATGAATGGAAGAATTATAAGAGGAACGAAAGTCATTGAAAATGTCTTAAAAATAATGAGCCAAATATGGTTAGTATTTTTAGAAAATAGAGCGATGTTAAGTGGGAACATTTAGAAAAGATTTGAAAAAAATGAAAGAAAGAAAGTCTATTGCAATTGCACTTGTAGCCCTTTTCGGTGGCAGAATTACTTAATTCCAATGATTATAAAAAGAACATCGTTATGCACCGCAAAGTAGGCATTAACAACCGCATGAAGATGAAGCCTAACAAGCCTGAAGCGCACGAACATGTTGGAAGTGGCAAAAAATTGTACCTCTTTAAAATACAGTACAACACTGCTTAACACAAATACTAGTAAACAAGTACAAAAGAATGTTGCTGACGAAAAAAAAAAAAAAAAAAAATGAAAAAATAAAATCAAATAAACAAAATTGTTTGTAAAGTATGCACTATTTACGGAAAAAGTTGTTTAAAGTATGTGTCATATGTGTGTATGTGTGCGAGTATGCGTTTGAGCAAGAGGGTAGAAAAAGTTAAAGTTTTGCACTTACCACTGTAGCGACAATAAAAATGGCGGCAGCTAAAACGGCAGCCGCAAAGTATGCATTGTGCAATTCAATGGGACTCTTTAGCACGACCGATGAACCAAAACTTTTGTCATTAAAATTCCGGGCGCTTGTATCGTCGACCATAAATTCACTGGAACTAACAACAGTTTCCACAACAAATTCATCTGGATTTTACCGAGGGCGCATGGAATAGAAAATACAAAAAAAGCAAAAAAAAAAAAAAAAAAAAAAACAAAAAATGAACGACATACGAAAAGAAGGGATAGAGAGATAGAAAAAAGGAATTAATATAAACCTGCAAGTCTTATAAAAGATTCCAATCCATTATATGTACGTATCTGTACATATGCTGAAAAGCTTGTTTATCCCACAACATAGTACACGTATATGCATACTTTGATATATACGTAAATATGTAGCGTAATAAGCATGTTTTTGTATCAGCATATGTCGAGTAGATCATACACATACATACAAAATGAATTTCCAGAAGGGTATGTGTTTGTCATTTACTTTATATGTAAAAGTTCATAAAATTTATTATATTTATTTAATTCATAAATGTGTGTGTGTGCGTGTGTTCGAGAGTTTATGTTTCATAAAAGTAATCATTTTGTTGTTTTTGTTTTCTCTTATGTTGTTTTAAGTAAGAAATTGTTGTAGGTATTGTTGGGGTCCATTTGTTATTATATTGTATTGTTGACATAGTTTAGCAAAATTGTTGTTACCCTGTAAGGCACTTACCTTCACACATTGTGCCAGTATAGCCAGGACGACAAGCACAATAAAATGAATCTCCACTAGACCAACATGTGCCACCATGTGTGCAAGGGTTTACATTGCATTGCTGAAAATATTATAAAGATTATTTTTGTTTTTTTTTTCTTCTTCTTCTTCTTCAAAATGTGGTTCATTTTTGTAGCTATACAAATTAAATCTAGCAGCATTGTCAGCTACGTACGTAGGCGTATATAATCAAATTGATGTATATTCCAATGTACGGAAGTAAGAAAATATAACTTAATATATTAAAATTATTTGTCTTTCAAAACCCAATCCTATCTCAATTTTTCATCATATGAAAAATGCTAGAAATCTTTTTTAATTTTAAAATCAGAAGAAGAACAATGTAGTTTTTAAAGCTAGAAAATATTTTTGTTTTTTATTTACGCAAAGAGCAAAACTTGATTTGCGTATATTTAAATTATTCCGCTCTTTGCCGTCGCCAAAACATATGATATGAAGAACTCCGGCCTATTCTAGATGATATGAAATAGAGAATGTAGTTAGTGCACATGAATAGGGTTTGAATGGTGTACGAGATACCTATAAATACTTTTAAAGACATCCGTGAAATGGTTACACATATGGATTAACTATTTTTGCATTAAAGTTAGCTGCTACAGTTATAATACTCCCTGATTTCATTGAAACTGCACGTAAGTCTTTGGAAATATATTTTATAAAAACTTTGATCTTTGTAAAGTTACGCATCTATATAAATAATTTTCTTACAAATCATCTGGTACGACGAATACATTGAAGAAGAGTATATGGATGAACGTGAGGTGGCACTCAACGAATTATTTAAATTTTAAACAAATAACCAAATTTTAATAAAATTTTCATCTTTGTGGAGCTAGAAACCTAGATTTTAGAGCAAAATATATTGATGAAGATGAAGTGGCGCAGAACTGAATTTCAAGAAATGCAATAACATTTATTTATTGTAACGCGTCCAGAATAAGCAGAAATATATGGGCTTAATACTTTTTATTAAGCTGCAACAAAATCTAGAAGCTTCAATCTCCATTTTTAAAAGAATTGTACTTTTAAGAAAACTACCGAAATTATCTAAAACACTTTGCAATACTTTGGCTGACTACGTATTGTTGGTTATCAATAATCAAAAGTTTATTTTTATTGTCTTGGGCTTGTAACAGTTTTTAACAAGCTGGTGCAAAGTAAAGACAGAAAGAAACAAGGAGTGAAAAAGTTTACTTTACACAAATTGTCTTTATTTCATTCGACTTCGCAGCAACAAGCTGACGACTTCATTTGTTCTACTTGTAAGGTGACAAGTAACGATTTACGCCAACTTAATGGTAAATTGGATGTTCAATAATATATAGTTACGACACTATTTGAGTGAAGATTGAATAATTTACTCAACTATTGTTGAGAAAAGAGAGCGACTATGAGAATAAGCTTATAAACGCAAATAAATAAAACTATCTGTTCGCGGAGAATCTATAGGGAACACTTGCGTTTTAACTGATTAAACTTGATAGTGATACCTTTAAAACGGACGAACAGATATGGGTATAACTGCTAAAACTAGCCGTTTATTCCGTCGTTACATTCATTGAATAAACGATAGACAAGTTGCGATTTTAACATATTCATTTAAGTGCTACCTTTTCTCTTCCCGTCAAATGGATCTAGAAATGATTCTGCTCATTCACTTTTGGGCCCCGCATAAATGTATATATCATTCAAAACTGCTACAAATACAATTTGCCTAACACAATTCTCTATCCATTTTTGCGGCGTAGAATGTGTTTAGCCCTTGCCACCACATAAAGGCCTATTGTGGATCGTCACACTTTGCGGCAATGCATCGATTTTTTTCACAGAGCAATAGGAATTTACCTTTGCCTTTTTTGAAAACCTCGTTTCGGCTCATCTTTTTGAATGCAACGATTAAATTCATTCAGCTTGAGCGAATTCTTTGCTTATCGATCTTCAAAATAATTAACGAATACAATGTCTTTTCCGAGATTTTGAATGATAGCAGTATTTCCTCTTCCTTTCTGGAATGAGCCGTCATGCTGAGCACTTTGTAAGTTTTTGATCTACCGTAATTCGATAGACTTGTAGATATCAGGAGATGAAGAGGTCACGAGAGGTTAGCGTTAAGGTTAGGGCAGAAAGACTAAACGGCCTAACCATGACGTTTGACGCTACAGATTAACTGTTGATTGAATTAAGCTAGAGGATGGGATTTTCTGCATGCTACACATAATATTGTAAGGAACGTAAGGAGACAGACTTAGGAGTAAATTCATTTAGCCTCAACATGCAGGTCATAAGAATTTCCCTTTGGAGTATTCGATTTGGAGTTGATTAAATGAATAAAATATTACGGCATTGTCGGGCGATGAAATTGGAAATGAATGTCGTCACTTATTTGTCCAGTATAGACACGTTGCGAAGGAATCAGTTTAACTTTTCTAATCATAATTTGTAAAAACGGAGCTCGACACATGGGCTAATTAAATCTTGGCGCAAAATAAATTCTTAAAAAATCTATCAAAACAAACCTCTGCACAACAACAACTACGTCATTAATCAAAGAAATTCATGGTCAGTGTGGTTTTTGAAAATTCTTTAGTTTTTTTTACTGCAATTTAGCTTAATTTGGAGAAAATGTATTTCTTTTACCGTTCTTTGCAACTCATTACAATCTGGACCATTTCGTCCTCCCGGACATTCGCAACTATATTCATTGCCATGATCAATACATTCATGTCCGCTGGGGCATGGTTTGCTAGCACAGAAATCCACCTATAAGAAAAAATAAAAAGGAATAGAAGAAAATGGTAAACAATGCTGCAGATGATTAAGTTGATTAAGTGTCCTATTCTTTCTTACCTTTATTTGGCATCGTTTACCAGTATAACCTTTAGTGCAACGGCATTCATAATTACCAATATGGTCGATACATTCACCAGCGTTTTGACAAGGATTTGATTCGCATTCATTATACTCAAAATTACATAATTCACCAGCGAAGCCTGTTAGCAGGAAAAACGACAACAATTTGAACAATAAATAAACTTGTGGAAATATCCATAAGGAAATATAAAATTTATAAAAGATTAATTCATATATTTTTCGAAATAAATCTATTTGGCGCCTCTCTCAAATCGTTAATCATCTTAGATTGGAGTAATTTTTTTTTTGTCATTAACATTGCCGACTGGCAGAGAAATCAGATTGTATTGCAGGCTGATCATGAATGTATTTACTAATAAAGCAAAGAAAATGCCGACGCAACGAAATTTATATGATTTATTTCCTCACGTCAGTATATGGAGTTTTAGGGAGTTTTCTATAACTTGCTGAAGCGAAAATCAACGTAACATAGTTTTGATTTTCTAGTGTCACGGAATATTTAATTCAAAAAAAAAAAAAAATTAAGAAAAAAGTGAATTCTTCAATCCATTGAAATGATATACGTATATACATTATTTATTTATATATTCATTCCAGCACACATATACACTGCGTATTAATGTGAAAACTCTACATATTCTTGGAATTGGAAATCATTTTAATGATATTTATGCAAATTATATTTTCAGTTCGACACACATAAGTATACACTTGTATTTTCACATATTCGCACGCACGTAAATGATTTATGAATAGTGCCACAGAGTTCAGCTGAATATATTTTCTTTACACATTCTCTCATCAGACGTTACGTTGCATTTACTCGTTGATTCAACGTTCTCGGTTCGCTTGTTCCTTCCATTTGCATGAACAAAATTTATAGCAACAATTTGATTTGTGCCATCAATATACGAATTCGTTTATCTCTCTTACTTGTCAATATGTTGGAGAGTCTTTCAAGTAAAAAATGAACTCTTGCATTACGCAAAAAAAAAAAAAAAAAAAAAATAACAAAAATAATAACAAAAAATATAAATTATTCGTTGGCGTTTTTCCGTTGCATTTCTGCGCATTCTTCTCGAAATGTTTGCAATTAAGGTTTGAATAATATCTTACAAATATATAGGAGGAAAAAATTGAAAAACTGAAAAAATCATTTTTCTCTTCAATGTGTTATTGATATTCATTAGTACTGTGAAAGAAAACGAAGTCGACGAATATCAAGTGTTCGTTTTAAATGTCAATTGTATGCATTGTGCGCAAGTTGGGATGTCATCAGTTTTTTGTCTCATTTCTTTGTTTTAATTATTTAAAAATTTCATTACACTTTAAACAATTTAACATTTAATAAAAAATATTTTAATTAAACGGCTTTTCTTTATCTTCTAGTCTTTGAGTACAATTAATTGTACGGAATGCTTTACCGCGTCTCATTAATAACGATGATAATTGTGCGGATTTACGTGCGAACAAGCAGCAAGTAGTTACAATTAAATTCGAAATTAAAATAAACGCTTACGAAATAAATAAAAATAATACAGAAGAGCGAGAAGAGAAAGTTGACCATAAGCCAAAATAAATTGTAAATAAGTAAAATAAGAAAAGTTTATTCGGCTCTAGTCGAATCCTTTACACTCATCATTTTTATCTTACAGAAAGAGAGAAAAAAAAAAGAGAAAATAAAATTTTCTTAGCTTAAATGACTGGATTTGGAAGGAATTGGTTTCTTCTATGCAGATACCGTACGATCATCTATAAATCATATTTTGCTAATTTTTAACATTGTAGTTGTTTTAGCTTATAAATTAAGAGTAGAAAATCCAAATTCCTTGCGTTTTGAAAATAACCTTGTCTTTGGCTTATGTTCGATCGATTTGAGACATTTTCAAAGCAATTGCGTTCTTTCTTTTCTTAGTTTCGACGATCGGGAGTATGTATATCACTGGCAGAAAAACAGATGAACGGACGGACGGACAAACATTTATAGTATGAAATTGATCAAGAGGTCTCTGGCTCTTGCTTTTGAGGCGTCGCAAACGTTTCGGTAAAATGACTATATCTCGAATGCTTCGATGTTAAATATAAAAATAAAAACTTGAAAAAGGTTGTGTAGTCGAGCAAAAGGGGAATGTATAGTATAGCTGGGCAGAAAACTTGGCATCTTATACGGAGAAGAAATTTTATTAAAATTAAGACAAATATTATTGATTTTGTAACGCAGCTCGTTACTCCATGCATTAAATTTTGTTTTGTATTTAAGAGACTCCCCCTCCCCACCTCATGAAGAAAAAAATTCGAATAATTATACCTTGAAATTTCATTATATAATAATTTATGAATATACATTTCGCTACGTCCACGCGGTCTTTTCTAATTCATACCCACTTTTTATTCGTTTAAATCATTCGATTATAAAAAAAAAAAAGAAAAACAACATTTTTTATAATTGGATTTAAAAAAAAAAAAAAAAGATAAAAACGAGAAAGAAAATTATATTCACCTTGGAATTCGTCTTTAATACCTAGCAACTCGCACCAGTGCATAAACATTATATCACTTATTGTGGTCATGTCACTTTGTGTGTGGAAAGAGACATTTTTTTCAGTTTATGTTTCATTTAATGTTTCGCATACCGCATAAAATCGCTTTTTACAAAGAATGCAATAATAAAAGTAAACCTTAAAAAATGTTAATATTCAACCCAGAAGTTTTTAAACTACGGCATAGCAGGAGAATATATGATATGTTGAAAGATATTTAATCATTAAGAACATCTTTTAAGGCAAACGCTATCTTTTTTGGTTTCTTTGCCTTGAAATTTTCATTTCAAGTTAAAAATCGAACAACATTTTCTTTTAATGAGATTTAATTCAATAACTAAGTTTTTAACGAAGAAATCCTGAGCACAAGTGCTAAATCTAAATAAAAAAAACCCTTTGATCTTTAAGACGTTTCCAGTTGTGTAAAATTCAAGCCGTTAACTGGCGAAATATTCTGAACAAAAAAGAATTCGTTTTTATTTTTTTAAAAAAAGCGATCCTTATTTAAGGATTTTAATGAAAGCAACATCGTGAACTCTGGTTATAGATATCCGTTTATCAAACCTATTACTAGAAAAAAACAAAACGAGAACAAACTAACCGGTACCGGATAAGTACGAACAACCATCATATTAAGCATAGTCTTGACTGTAAAAGTTTCATTTCATTCTTGGAAAGTACGGTTGATGTATTTCAATGCCAATGTATGCCAACTACCAGGAAGAACACTTTCACCACCAATGCAATATTGTTCGACTTTAAATACTTTGCTTTCTTTTTTGAACTCCTATCGGGTTCTCATGCTCCGTTTTTAGAATTATGCAAAATGCCTAAAAGCTGAGAAATGTTTCCATTTTTATTCGTAAGAAGCGAAATGTTGTTCTTTTCAATTTGTTTTCGCGCATTTATAAGGAAAGGCAATAAAATATTTATAAGCTTAGAAGGAAGGTTTGCTTTTCCCTAAATTCAAGCACAAAAAACAACAATTCCTTCATTGGAGTTCTGGCAATAAAAAATTTGCATTTGATATGCTTTAATATTTCATGCCCTTTTATTATGATCATAGAAGACATAAGTTAGAAAGAGACTGTAAGGGAAAAATTATAGATCTTGTCAATGCCAAGAAAGTATGGAACAAACAAGTTATAAATCTGAAATATTCAACCTGTGTATTGTCCATTTAATTGCAAAATTCATCGACATTCAAGATATAACTTGAAGTAAACGAATAAATTAAACGTCTTATAATACTTTTGCCGATAAGAGATTTATGAGATTTTTTTTTTTTTTTGGCTCTCCTTAAATAGACCCATCATTCCAGTGATGTCGACTGCATGTGTAACACGGTGAAGGTCAGAAAGAGGTGAGATAAGAGTAGTGGTCATAGACTAGTGAATGCGTGCCGAACAGTTCAGTATTATGCCTTTACCGACTAAGGACTGATTATAGCTTCGATCAGGTATCGTCTATCGCGGTTTGTGGACGCGATTCTTATCTACTCGGCTATTTATGTTAGTCGCACTTATAATGTCATTCAAAATTTTTAAATTTGCGTTCTATGTATTATAAGCCATGGGAATATTTATTACATGTTGATTTATCATAAACTGATTACAATAGCATAGACTCATATATTGGATATTCGCTATTGACGATTCGCGATCAATTTAGGCAAGTTTTTCCCCTACTGTGGTTTCTTAATCCTTGCATTGTTGTAGATCGGCAATCCATATCACGAAAGACCTAGACCTAGACAGGTCACAGGCAGCTTGAGGATCCTAGAAGGAGCTTGTGGATCCTAAAATATTTTTTGGCTCGCAGCATCGTAGTTTGGCTGGTCTTATGAAATGTTTGTTAAGCACCTGGCCTCTGCCATATCTTGATGTAAAGTTATGAGGGAGAGTTATGTGCCCTGTGGCCAATCGTAGGTCGTTCCGCCGTTTTGTTCTGTCTTCATTGCGATATAAGCCCTTCAAAATGGCTTCCTGGCTTAAGGAAGAAGGGCTCTTCTAACGCTTAAAATGTAAGATTGTAATTTGTAAATATGTTTTTTATTTAAATTTATTGTATTTGTTTTCCATGGGAAAGTTCACGCTGTTCAATTATTTTGCCGTATTCTTTACACTTTTTTGACTTTTTACCCTCATGTCATTGTTTGGTGTAATTGTTGCTGTAGAATATCCAAAAATTTCGACTATTGTTGAATAAATTATACGCAAAAGTTTATCTTGTTTTTTTTTTCTTTTTTAACTCTACTACGGCGATAATGTGCAAAAACATCAGCCATTACTCATTGAGGTGGCCTGTAGTCTTCACTCACCTGGCTGACAGAAACAACGAAAACCATCCTCTTGGTCTACGCATATGCCATGAAAACAAGGCGATGATTCGCACTCATTAAGACTGTGCTGACACAATGGTCCTGTAAAACCGGCAGTACAGTCACATCTTTTGTTGGTAACAGCAGCACGGTATAAATAATCAAAAACAAACAAAAATAACAATATAAATAAATAATAAAATTCATTGTAATAGCAGTTATTAAAAGGAATTACAACTACGGACAAAGAAGAACCGAAAGACACGTAAATGCAAAAAGGGCAAACAGAGAATGAAAATAAATTCCGCAATTTCAGAAGAATTATAATAATGGTTTTCACAACGACCATGTGGGAATGAATACGTGAGTAAATGACTGAGTCGGACTGAGTGTTTATAGTGTTATTTTTGAAAATTATTTGTAACTATTATTATATGCTATACGCACACATACACACACTAACACACACACACAAACACATATACGCAAACACATACACACATTTCCACACAAATTGAATAATAGAAGCGAAAAAAAATCAATAGTTTGTGAAAGTCAATAACGAGCCTTTATAGCGGAATTCGCAAGGTGTGTAAATTAAAATTTATTATCACTATTAGCAACTTAAGTCAGCCTTGCTCACGTACTCATCCACGTTTATATTTGCATTTATATAGAAGTTTGTGTTGAAATTTGGGTTTTGATAACGTGCACCCACATAACCCACATATTACATGTGCTTACCTAAAATGCGTTGAATTGCCTACGCAACTGCCGCCATTCATACATTCGGCAGGATTACAAGGATCCAATTCGTATTGACAATTTTTTCCGGTGTAACCTGTAATTATAAAAATAACGGCATATTAGTCCGTTATATGAATATCAATTCCCCCTAACATATACATATACAGAAAATATCATAAAAAGTATTGAGCCATTGCTGTTTACATTTTAAAATTCATACATTCACTTCATAAGCGTATATAATGATATTTAGGACAAATTAACACTATAGCCCACTGACTATTTTACTAACAAATTCAATGCCATCCAATTCAACTAATGGTTAACTTAGCATTGGGAAAGGATAGATTGTATAGAATGCGTAGAGAATTTGCAATAGTTAGACGGAGAACGAAAACATTGCACAGTAGTCGTAATTATCCGACCACACATTTTAGTGACAGGATTGTGGTTCATACAATACGACATATACCAGATTATATAGCACAGCATGTTTAAAATAATTGGAAAAGGTAGGTTAATTTACATCTAATATTGGTGTGCTCATTCCGCTTTTCATCGTCAGTCTGTGTATGTGTGAGTTGTTCATTTTGAAATTAGTTCAAGTCCATTGTGTCAGGAAGTAAACTGATTGTGTTAGTAGTTCAAAGTTATATTTTCATTGTGTTGTAATTTTATAACTAATTTATTGATAATTCTTGCATAAATAGTAAACATGTAGATATACATATATATAAAAAATGTTACATAAAATCTGTAACGAGGGCAATACTTTTGAAACGTCAACACGCATCTGCCATTCTGAGAAACTTTGGCGTGTAAAAATGAGGAGATTTTTGCAACTACGGATCGACACGTACCCTCTCGGTGTAATACAAAATCAATACAGAAATTGTTTAACAAAATTCTTCTAAACGATAAAACTACTTTTTATTTGCATAGGTGCACACCTGTTGGATTAAGGTCTCGGAAAACTCAAGAGAAATGATCGAACAACTTCTATAGTCGCGTGTGCTATTTCCGAACTGTCGCTATGACTGGCATATATTTTTTCGCAAGTCTTGTGGATTCGATTTTTATATACTTACGCAGTTAACTGGTTTTTTTTGGGCTGATCTGTGAATCGAACGAAGATGAAACGCACTTTCAAGAGAATGCCTGTGACACAGCTTGTGAAACAATGGCTCCATTGCGTGAAAGATTTTGATTTGATATGACTTTTTGAAAGAAATATTAATGTAAGCAAATTAAAATGAACGCACTTAGGATACTTTGAAAATCAACGCGTTGGATAGGTTCTTGATCTAATATTTTCAGCTAATTAATACAATCACACCTGGATCCCATATCCCTTTATGGTATAACTTTTTTGTGTAGTTAGTTTCGGTAGAAGGCATAAACATATATTTCCGTATCGCTTTTAACTTACTCTGCTTATTAAGCTAGAAAGTAATTGCAAACTTCCTCGTGGTAAGGCGTTTTAAAGGTAACGCGTTGTTGTAACGCTGTTTGCATTGAAATTTAGTTTTTGTTACCTATTTCTTATGCGATATGTAATCATATTCTCGCATCTACAGAAACTTGGAGAAAAACATAAACTGTGTTCGTATATTCAAAATCAATTGTTTTTAAGAATATTGCAGTGGCGGTATGTGCGAATGCGTTGAATGATGAATGAAGCTACGGTATTTATTTATTGCTCTCCCTGGGGGGTTATATAATTTGATGTGTTCTAAAAGTAGCGTGACTTGTTTCTAAATTTATGTAAAACAAGTAAGAAAATTATATTCGACTGCGACCATATCTTTTATAGCCATCGCCGTTGTTCGAAAAGAATCAAAAAAAGGAACAAACTAAGTTATCATACTCTGTAGTATTGGATGGATGACGTTTATCATAATAATTAACGAACAGATGGACAGATGGACTGACAAATATGTGTAGAATGGTTCAGATTTGATGGAAATCTATAATGGGCGCTGTAAACGCTTTGATAAAGGAATGAAATTTTAATATTCTCTTCAAGTTTTAATTTAACGCACAGAGCGGCCGCATATGCAGAGGATCGCAACTAGCAGCTCAATGGTCTGAACTAAACACATCAAATGGTCGCATCCTTAGATGCTAAAGACTGCTTAAGACTGTAGTCTTCGGATTTATTTCTCTGGCCAAATGAATTATGATAATAATAATAATAGAAACGATGTACATTGTTATTGTTCTTAAATCCAACAAAAAGATTTATTAAATGTTTCAAATTTTGACAATATTGACACGCAACGCAAGTTGATTTACATTTGTTGGTTGCATTGATTTAATTTTGTTAATTTACTTTTGAAAGCATGAAATTTACCTCAAATTTTGGCAGATTTTATCTCTAACCTTTTCCTACCATTGCATCTACATTTAGCTCAAAGGTTCAAAGGTAAGCTTATGATTAGCAAAAAATAGCAAGGATAACAGCCTTTTCTTTTCCTAAAATGTCACTCTCCAAAGCTTATTTAGGACGCAATTTGTGATTATTAGTGACATAAGCTTTGTCTTTCCAAAAAACAAATTAATGGCGAATGTAAAAATTTTCATCTTGACTCTGCTTTGAAAAAGTCTGCCATAATATATCGGAATTTTGCTACGATATAAATACTTCAACTTTCAATTTTATGTTAAGTGAATAGCTCTTCTTTAAATCGCTTTACACAACTTTGTTAACGAAATTTAAATAATTTATAAACATATTGTACAAGGAACATTCTTAATCTTTCCCAAGCAGCGAATATTATTTTCTTATCCACTTTATTTCATTTGAGAAAAAAAACCTGCGTGTAGAGTTTTTAAACACATTTTTTTTTCGTTATCGGAAAACAGTGCAGCTGTTATCTCTTTCTCTTAGTTTAATCCCTGCTACTATACCACTTAAACAGTGCTTGAGAGAATTTTTTTTTTTTTTTTTTTTGTTTAAAAAAGAAATTTGCTTGGTTCGCATTTTTCCAGTGTTTTATGCTGATATTCCGTTAACCCTTTCACATCATTAATGAAGAAAAATAAAAAAAAAAAAAAAAACTGTTCCTTAATTGAGTTTAGTTTGTTCCAAACCATAGCACAGCTTGAATACATATTTTTATATTTTTTTGCTTTTTCCCTATTTGCATGTAGTTTTAAAAAAAACATTTTTTTTTTTTTTTTTTATAGTTGATATTGGTTTCTGTTTGGGGGTTTTTTACCAGTTTACATACACGTTTAGCAGTAAGCTACGTTGGTGGTGCCAGTTTGTTTGCGTTTCAATTTAATTTGTACGCAACAACTACCGTTTTTGACATTTAAATTAACTTGGAGATCCTTAGTGATTTTTATGAAAAAAAAGAAAGAATTGTTCATTTGGTTTTGTAATTCAGTTATCCCAGGTATCGACTAGGATAAATTAAAAGCTCTTGGTAAATTATTTTCTATTGTGGAATTACTTAAATGTATGTGTTACTCATATGATGACCTTTCAAAGTAAGGCATTGTATAGGAAGCGGTCGGAATAGTGGTCCGATTGGAAGGCTCTTGTCTCTGGGCCAACACGCGTCCAAGTGCACCAAATTTCGATAATAGATCTCAAAAATTGCGACCTGTAGTTTGAAGACGAGAAAACAAGACGAATAGACGGACATACAAGTTTAGAATGACTTTCTGAATCGATCTATATAACAAAATGTGAATCTATCTTAAGTTTTTCTGGCTTTTGTCCCCTCAGCTTCAACATACTCTTATACCATAACTGGTGTTGCATTTAATAACTTTTGTTAGAGTTTTTCTAATGATCTTTTCATCAATTTTACAAAATAAAAATTTCGTTTTAATGACTGTCTCAGTAATAAAAAGTCGAACAATTCAGCAAAATCGAGAAAAAAATGCGCTGCTTGAAAAACTTTTACCTTAGGTCCGCTAAGCTTCGGCCTAATCCATGTTCAAGACTTTTAATACAACATAATTCATATTCGATTGTTTCTATATACTTTCCTCTTTTTTACGGAAATCAACTGAACTCACCACCTTTAACGCGTGCTTAGCCTCAGTCACTCATGAAAATACCGTTAATAGTTAAAGTGTTGTTGTTTTTCTTTGCGATTTAAATTCATTTATATATATATCAACAAATCCAACTTATATATGTGCTATACGTAAAATACCATACATAGACCATTCTGGAAATACTATATGAAACAATCAAAAAGTTTTTGTTTGAAGTTCAAAAACGACTCAATAACACCGCGTCGTAATATTAGGGTTAAAGAATTTCTTAGGCGACATTTCTATATAGGTGAGTGCAGTAGCTGCGCTACACTGAATAGCACAGAATTTAGCTTGTTGTTATTGTATTAGTTGCTAAGAATTATATCCATTACGACTTGCGTCCGACGACTGAACAAATGTTTGCTGAATGCGTATTAAAGGTCTGCTACTTGCTTTGCCTTTTGTATTTAAATGAAACGTCACTTCACAAAATGAAATACTGTAAAATACGTTTATTTGTTATTAAATTAACGGTCATTTTTAATTTGTTAATTTTACCTAGACGTTTATTTATGTTTGCGTACGTTATACTTGGAAGCGGCAGTATTGGAAACCGTGGGAAATACCAACACTGGTAGAACGCTGAGAAACTAAAGTAGCCCTGTTAAAGGTCTTGACTGGTGGACAAACGTCCATAACACAGGCCACATTACACCGTTGCTCAAGGGTATCGAGAGCTTTGACCAGACTTTCGTGAACCACGAGCATTTGAGCCTTTCGCTGTATGCAGTTGACGGCGTCCAAGCAAAATTTGGATGCTCCCGTCCATATATGCGAGTGATACTGCAATTTCGGCCGGATATAGGCGACGCAAATAGTACGGATACCGGTTGCAGTGAAGTTTTTTTTTCACTGCTTTAAAAAACTTAAGCCCTTAATCGCGTCTTTCGAGACTTCGGACACGAACATTGTTTTGTATTCTCGTGCTCAGAAAATCAAGGATTGCCGATTCTTCGGCATTGACACCACCAAAGGAAAGAGGAAATGCTCGTCACTCAGGTGCGTTAGAAACTTTGAGTTTTGGCTTAGCTTACCCTAGCTTACCCTATTACTCACTCATTGGTCACTCATTAGGCAGCAGGAAAAAAACTGGTATAAGGTGTTATCGTCTGCAAACGGGTAGACAGAGTTTCTTGTCACGCACAGGAGGTTTTTAATGAATATTAGGGAGAAAGAGCGGCGAAGAACAGAGGCGTGTGTTACAACTGCATTTGAATTCAAGTGAGAAATCCCTTTGGTTACAACTTTTATTGAACGGTTGCCTAAGAAGCTCGGTATGAATCGAACGAAAGTACTGTCGATACGAAATGAAATCAATTTGAGCCAAGATCGTCGTGCCATACACTATCGAAAGTTTTGGCGACGTGTAACGCAACGACCTTACTATCGTGGAATGATTTTGTGTCTGTTTCGAATGTACGTGTGTGTTTAGATTGTTCGATGTGTAGTAGTGAATCCATGCTTCACTTGAATTCAATTAAAGTCATTCAATTTAAAATCTCCAAGTTTTTTATTAAATGCTTTTTTAGTCCATTGTAAGATGAATGGAGGTCTTTTGTATTCAATTGTTCATGCAAAATATATTACAATAACGTATCATTTTTGTTAGCATTGAATTGCTAGTTACAAGAAATGCAATCTAATCACCAATAGTGATCGAACTTGCGTTATCGGAAACATATGTTATTTGTTGTTGTAAAGGTAAAATAGTAATGAAAGATGAATAATCAAAGAAATCAATAAAAGTAATCTTTTGTCGAAGAGCAACATGCCATGTGTACATAACAGAAGTACATTTTTTTTGAACTTTTGAAGTTGTTCAAAAGCATTTAAGTCCTTTTCATAATGATTTTCGTAATCAAAAGAAAGCTTAGGGCATTGCGTAAATTATCACATAATTGTCATAATACCCGTACAAGCACACATTATCTACTACGAGCGCTATAATTGATTTGTAAAATCTAATCATTTAATTTTGTTGCCCACGAAATATTTAACAACAACAAAAGCTATTTTCATAAATTCAAGAAAGATGGTAAAAATGGTTTAAAACGAATAGTTTGGTAAAACTGAAACAATTGATTATTAAAAGTGAAGAAAACCTTGCTTTAATTGCTCAGGTTCTATAATTTACTTTCAAAAAAATAAAAGAATTAATTTTTATAAAATTATTTTAAATTACACTTATAATATTTCTTCTCATTTACATACCATACGGACATAAGCATTGATATGAATTGCCTTCGTGTCCTTGCGATAGATCAACGCAAATGCCATTATTCGTGCATGGACTGGGTGTGCATGCATCAATTTCTTCACAATGCGGTCCCGCAAAACCACTGCAACACTGACACTCGTACTCCTCCATGCTGGGATTTGAATAGCATACACCCTTACCGGAACAATCGGCATTTTCACCGCAATTGTCGGTTTTCGTGGTAACCTTGAGACGTACACACTGCGTACCCCAAAGTTCCGAAACCACTGCAGGGTTTAAATAGAAAGCATATCAAAAAAAAAAAAAAAAAAAAGTGGAGGAAAGTATATAAACATATATATATATATACAATGTATAATATAGCATAAGTAAAGGATGTGCAAATATTTGAATCTTTTCAAAGAGAAAATAGAAGAAAATTATGTATACTTTTAGGTAAGTGTAGATAAGTGTATGTGCCTGTGCGATTGTGTGTGCTTATGTTCACAAGATAGCTTAATTAGTAATTAACATAAAAAAGAAAAGAACTAATTATGTAAATACAATTATAAAGGTTGAGTTGTACTAGAGAGATGTCTTTGCAGAAAGGTAATATACGTACATACATACATATTTATATATATATATATATATATATATAGACCAGCATAAGAGAAATATCTTAGTGAATTGCGATATAAAGCACAGACGTACATCTATTTATTCATATCCTTGTAGGCAGCTTTCTAGTTTAGTGTAATTATCATAAAAGAAATGTACACGTTTGGCTCGTTTGCGTAACCCGTACAAGCAATTAAAGAATTTTAAGGCATCAAGCAGAATCCATACTCATCAGCTTTGTTTTACTAATTCTAGGAGGTCTATTAAAAGCCTTGGGATTTTCTCCTTTTAAAATATAATTTTTTTTTTTTTTCTTGTTTTTCTCTTTTCATTTTGCTTTTTGCAAATGCATCTGTAATGTTTTACATACCTGAAATAGTTAGTTTAATGCATAATACTCTAACGAAATCCTATAGGGATTCGCATGTATGTTTTATGCCCACACAACACACCCCGAGACGCATTACGATTTTTAGCTAAATAAATCCAACACATACTTCACACTTTCCATTTAGAATTAAGATGTGTTTGTGTACGTGTTTATGTGCATAGATGTATGGAAATGTGTAAATCCCACCTTACAAATTCTTAACATCCTGTAGCAAATTTATGCAATCAGTACACCCCCAACAGTTTTGTTAACTGTGATTCTGTGCTAGTTATGTGTATGTGCATATGTTTGCTTATATAGCGTATATATAAAAATATCTACATATAATAAACATATATACTTATATATCTAAATATATACATTCACCTCATTCTCATGTTTCTTTTCTCCTTAAGCTTCCAGTTTATCTATTCTTTTCGTTTATTTTTCTTCTTTGTTTTTTTATATATATATATATATAACTTGCAACTTATTTTCCTCTACTCACCAATTAACAAGTTAACTCCTTCGGTTAGGTCCTTATCGTACAGTGTAACCAGCTTTCTACCATCAACTATAAGCGGCGTGATATCCAGCAATATGCCTTCGGTTACATCACAGTGTTCATGTCCGGAACGTGTTACTTGATACACTTGAGTATTGTGCGCACTTTTATTTATATATATTTAGTTGAACAAATGAAATGAAATGAAAGGGAAATAAGTTACGAAGACAGAGAACAGCATAAATAAACGAAGTTAACAGGTAACAGAAAATAACAAATCAGCAGATGAGCAGAACTTCATACTTTTCCTTTCATTTATTCATTTTTTTTTTTCTAAGACTTTATTTAAAAGTAAAGAAAAAATAGTTGTGCCGTGCATGTTAAGTGCTACTTTGACACGAAGCTTGACGTTGTGGCTAGACATTCAAGCCCATACGTACAGACTGTTTCAAATTATAAATAGATGGTGGAGGGAAAGGTTTATCACAAACTATGCAAAGTTTAACCTAATTATTGATTGAAACATTAAAAAGTACACTAATCGAGCATGGTAAGTGAACTAAAAATGTTTTTAATTGGAAAACCATTCAAGTAATATTTTAAAAAGTTTTTCAAAAAAAAAAAAAAATACAATTTCAGAAGCTTTCAACTTTTCTTAAAAGTGTTTGCATTAACTGATCAAAAGATACGTGAAATTTTTATCAGTTAACTCAGCGAAATTATTTAGGCTCTTCATGGCAAGCGGCTTTTGCGCTTATCAGGTAAAAATGATCGGAAATGAAACTTTCACTTATGTCTTAACGCCCAAAAACACAAATTAGACGCTTGATATAATAAACTATATATGTTCGCGATTAGCATACGATTCTGAATCTTTGCGTTGACTGGTTTATTAACTTTGAGTAGAAAGTTGAGATGTGCAAAACTGACATACCAGCACGATGAAAATTGATCCATAGCAGTTTGAGAGAATCCCCCATAATAGTCCGTCACTATAATTCGAGTTCGTAGGCAATATTACTACATCCTTATTCATACATACAATGGACAAGCTTTCATGTTTATGGCCAACGCTACTCATGCATCGCTTATTCGCGTCAAATATGCTTTTTTTCTTAAACAGTCCCCCCGTGTCATCTTTGGGGAAAAAAATATGTGAAAACAGTGCAATTTATAATATTTCTGACAAAAATTTGATATGTTCACATGAGTTTCTCGTATTTTAAATATTAATTCATCGTATTTTTATTTAAAAATGTTTTCATGCAACGAACCGAACTTCTGGACCTCTGCAAAAATTCAATCTAGGAACACCGATTTTTGACACTTTGCGAATAAAGTCAATGAGAGTTCTTGGGTTATGGGAGGTAAAAGCCCAATAGGGTTTTAGAGATTACGCGATCATTGAATATCTACTTCACGTTACAAAATATCGAAAGTCATGATTCTGTAGCGTGCTCCATTGAAGGTAACTGCAATGTCTAACAACCGCACCCAATAATTATTTTTGTATATGCAAAAGCCTTTCAGGACCAAGTGCTTTCTTTAAACCAAAGGAACGAAGGAGCAAAGGAACAATGATTCTTATTCACGAAGTCATTTAGCCAAATATTGGCTTTTTCTCCCATGTGCGAAAGGTAACCGTGGGTATGTTAATGTTAACAATTTCCGTATGCCGCCGAACTATGTATGCGTTGTGTATAGACAAGAGATCGCAACATCCAAATAATGTATGGAAATAAAATTTGATCTAAAATTCCATTAGAGGTGTATATTTTATTTACTCTCGGGACCACAAAATGGTTAAAGTTACAGTAGTTTGACATAAAAATAAATTTTTTACCACATTTTACAATTCTAATTTAAACTACATAGGTATATGTTTTGAATCTAAGTCCACACAAAATGGGGTAAAGGTAGCCGTTGTATGCCAACAAAATTTAATTTTTATTGCTTTATAACGGAACTAGACGAAGGATAAAAATACTTTTGGCAAGTTCAGCTTCTTCCCATAGAAAGGGCTCCAGTAAAAAGTTTGCATTACATTACAATGTGATATAATTATTGATATCTTATGCGAGAATAAATAATAATTGTATTCCGCGAAATAGTGCAGTCGGCCAGACTGACTGTAAGTTTTTAATTGTCTATTAAATAAAAAGTTTTTTTAAAACTCTGCTTTTTTTAATCGACAGTTCTGAAAAAATTAAGTTGAGATACTGCTTTGTCGGAAATGAACACATTTAGGTGCCATAAAAGCTTTACAGGAATTAGCTGCAAGCAAGCTTCGTCAAAGCTATGAGGCTCATAGGTAAGTATTAAAGAAATTGACAATAATGGTAATAATTTTGATATGGTTAAGTAAAATAGCTGGCAAAACCTCGCCTATTTTACCGCAAGGTAAGAAAGAACGCACAAAATAATTACAAAGATCCACTTAAAATATAGCAAAGTCGAAAGATAGAAAAAAATTCAATTTTTTAAATAAATAAAAGTCGAATCCTTTGTAGTGTATATATATTTTATCAAGAACAGTAGAATTCAATGGATTTCAACCCTCAGAGACCTCGCGTGTTTTTATTCAGTGGTTTACATCATTTACGCCTTAAGCGTGTGGTACTAGGCTTCCAGAAAGGAAATTTCGCCGATTAGTTTTGGTATTCGCGTTCTGACCGTTCATCGCCGCCATATGTATCCATAAGGTATGTAAAGTACCAAACTAAAGCTGTTTCTACACAAGCTTTATGATATCAGCTGTTAAATGTATGAAGACAATGCGCTTTAAATGTGAACTTGGCTGTGAAGCAATGCCATCAAATCTACTATAAGGAAAAAACGAAACAATTTTCGGAACAACCTAATATGTGCAGGACACACTTTTGTATTATGCTCATAAAACTAAAAAAAAAGAAAATAAAGTGTTGTTACGAATCACCATGTGGTGGGCATTTAGCTGCTGAAAGAGCGCAAACAGCCGCATGGAACTTTCAGAGAAATAAGTACATTTTAGTTCAAACCTATCACAAAAACATAATATCGCGCCGTAGAACGGATGGACAACAATGAAGTTCGTTTTTTCTAAAAGTCATATAAAGTATTTTTCGACGCAACTCGCAATAAACTCGCGTGGATTTATTCTTTTAAAAATCCTTAGAATTTAGTGTTTTAGTTGCATGGTTGATTTTGATGATGATGGACACTTGACATCGGGATAAAATTAGGTTTTCCTTATCACTTTTGGCACCCTCAACGAACTATCAAAAGTCAGCAAGACGTTCACACATTTTTTTCTAAAGTTTTTCACATCCTTTACATATTGTTTTGTTTTAGCCAATGTACACCAACACTAGATGATAGTAGCAATTGCTGAAATACTTGCTTTTGCGTGTGTCTTCTCCAGTTTCAATTTCAATTTAGAACTATTTTGTCTCTTTTTCTTTATGTAATTTAGTAAAGATGCAAATTTGAATTGATTAGCATAAAACAAGCCTTAACTATTGTGGACGGTATCGATGGGCTTTGCTCATTTCGGTGCAAGATCTTTTTAACACGATTTTTTATGTATTTCAATTCAATTCACATGAGTTTATAAGATTTGCTTTGAAGTAACTACTATTTTAGTTTCATGAATAATTCAATTACGTTGATATTGGAACATAAAAACAAATGCAGAAAATTTATTCTTATCCTGCTAATTACCTACATATATGCATATACATATACCTAAATCCATTTTCATAGTGACCAGTGTGCCTCTCTTGTTTTGCGTATTTTTCATATGCATGAAGATATATAAGAAAAAATAAAAACATTTGTAAGGATTCCAGTTTATTTGCATTAACATGTTTGTTGGAATTTGCTAGCATTTAAAGTTTTGTTTTTAATGATTGCAGGTAGGAGGCATACACTCTTGTGCCCATTTATGCAATTCGTTCAACGCAACATTGGCTTAAGTAGCTTTTACAGTTATTGCTCCATTTGTTGGACAACGATTATCATGTAGAAGAGATTTCCATTTTTTTCATCTTTTTTTTTTTAAACTAACCTAGCATTTTAAACGTAATGCCCAGCTGTTGAGAACGGACAGCAAATATTATGTTTTTACATAATACTATTTACCATAAGTAATTTGCATGACTAGTCATAAGAAGAGAAGGTGGTTCGAATAACAAATAAAAAAAAAAAAAAAAAAAAAAAAAATGAAAAGTGTTTGCATAACACGTGTTAACAGATATTACAGTTGTACGTGTGCGAACGAAAATAGTTTGGCATGGTTTAGACCTTTTGCTGAAAACATAATAATATTTTGTGTTTTTCTTTTACACTTAAGTAAAATTTTACCCAAGTAATAAAGTTAAGAATAATTCATTATTGTTATCGATTTAACACGCGACTCGTACCTGACCGCAAATCTTATTTCATTCATTTGAGCAATGTTAAGAGATTCACTACAAATTTTACGCACAAAAGATATAGATTTATACATAGACATATATATATATAAATAGTCACTTCAACTTTTTCATCTATTGCTAAAAAATGGAGATGAAAACTCATTTTGCCTTGTATATGTATACAGGCAATCATATTTATATACATTCAAATATATACAATACATATATTTGCATGCACACATCAAGTCACTCAATATGTCTCCGGTCTAAAAGATATACAACGTCACCGTTGACAAATTTTTGCGATTTTTGGGTAGTAACAAACTTCAAACAATACCTGTCAAAATTTCATGACATTTCGATCATTAGTTTACAAGTTAGTGTTGATTTAGTAACACTAACTAGCTTTGTCCGGTTGCCGTGCACTCGGCTGACTGCCGATTTGACTCCGCTGTGTAAAAGTGAACAAACCTTTTCATTTCGTCTAAACTGCGCCAAACAACTCTAAGAGACATAAATACGTTGTTGTCAAAAGTGCGCAAACGCAGCATTCACTTCGAACTGAGATCTCTCATTGAGACATGTTCATGAGAAATAGTTTATTAACTAATTTCTGACATCTTCCAAAGCGATTTGTCCACAGTTTTTATGTCTTATGTACAGTTTGATGATCGGTATTATCCAAAAAGCATATGGAGTTATCAACAGTTATGCCATATATGTGTCAGACTGGAGACTTATTGAGTGACGTATCAGATTTGCACAAATATTGGAAGTACAAATTAATTCAGTCTACAAAATGAGTGATTAGATTAATCATAGTAATGTTCATTGCTAGCTGGTATATTCCATTTGTAAGGCATTTTTCGAACTCCATCTTGAAAAAATGTCAATGGCTATCCGCAAAAGAGCCCATATTTAGGTTGAAGAATCGGAGCTCACTCGAGTAATGTCCGCTGATGACAGAAAGGAGGAGAGAGACGGCGTTTGGTGAATACTTGCATTCCTCGTGATAGCATGACATTTGGTTTAACGTGGTTTCCTTGGTGTTGGTTTCATTTGGCACCAAATCGGACCATCAATGATGTTGGTTCGCGTACTTCGTAATATGTTGTAAAAGTCGTCTTTTCAGAAGAGAGTTATACTTGCTATGATATGATATGATATATAGGTTAAATACATATACATATGTGTTTTTGTAACATTTAGTTCAATGATTCCCTAGACTAAATAAGAAAGAGTTATATACAAATAATCTTGGAAAACGACTCAATCAATCCAATACTTCTCGAAAATTTTGATATTTTTTCATAAAACAAGTTACCAAACCATTCAAAAAATCAGCCGCAGTTTCCGCAAAAATGTCATAATTTGATCTAAATATTTGTCACTAACGCAGGTTTTCGGAATTTTATAGAAATCTTTATTTGAATGTTTTACGTTACTTGCTGACAGTGAATTTGCAAATTTAGGTAATGTTGTAGAAGTAATTGATAAGCGTGAAAAGTTTGAAATCGGATTTTGTTTTTTAATTAATGCCTAAATAATAAATGAATTATCGAGTGCATATGGCACACTTGTTTGAAACGAAATTAATCGTTCATAAATAATAAATGAAATTTTTTAATCGAATTATGAAAATTAAGTGTCAAATTAAAAGCAAAAAAAAATTCAAAGAGAAGGTACGCTACAGTCAAATTATGAGTAACGCTAATGCTTGCAGCAAAATGAATATGAAATGTACATTATTTTTACATATACAGACAAGTGTCTACTTTTCCCATTGATAATCGTAACGTAATTGCAACGAAAACTCATGCAAAATATTATACATACTATTTTTTCATCTCGTAGGAATTTTACTTTGTAATAACAATGATGAGAATACGCTTTGGAAAAAAGAAAAAAAAAACTCTTACCTGGTGGTTGTATTGAAATCTTTGGGATTTAACAGAGCATCGTTTATTTCCACAATTAATATATCGCCAGATTGAATTTCGGCTTCACCTTCCCACGAAACCATCATTGCTGTGCAATCTTTATCAATTTTACAATTCTCAGGAGTCTAAAAGGAATAAATAAAAACATTTATTTAAAAATATTTTGTATAATAAACTGGCTTGTGAAAGGAGCACTACTTTATGCCAACATGTCCTAAGAGAAATGTTCAGAAAAGCGCATATGTTTTTTTTTTTTTCATTATAATCGCCCCTAAATTTTCATAACAGTTTCATCTGTAAGCTTCAACAACTTAGAAAAATGCTTTTACTTTGTTCTAATTTTTAATCAGCAAAAGATTCATAGTCTTTTGCACCAAAAATTCCGGACAGTGAGAATATCTCTCATAGCATTAGGTAATTGATTCATAATAGTTGCGAAGGCCATTAAGAACTGCTCGTTTCAGATTATCATAAACTACCTTGCGTACAGTGGCTATGATCTCTTCAAGGCTTAAATTTTTTATTTTATTATTATCAGATTTTTATATAATACATCCACGAACGGGAAGATTATAATGTATATAAATTGGAATATATGTCCGATGAATCTATAAATATACCCATAGTAGCTGAAAGGTAAATTTAACAAGTAGGAACATTACAATCGCGCATGACCGATTATTTAATGCCTTATATTGTTATTCACACTAAAAGTCAAACATTATTTTCATGTAAAGGCATATTTCCATGAAAGTGCGCATATTGTAGTAATCTTTATATGATGGTGGTATCCAAAAGATAGACCCAAATTCGATAAGGTTGCTTTCAATGTCAATTTACTTTTATGAACAACTTTCCACAATAAAATATTTAAAATTTGCATCTTTTTGCCATGTGAAGGTTCAAAACATTGCCTCATCCGAACCAAATTTTTCCAAACCAAGCCATCTTCGATAGCGTTCGTCCTTGCATCAAAGCTTATCAGTCACTTTCATCAAAATATCTCAAAAATTGCGATCTACAGTTCGAACACAAAATTTACATGGACAGACATCAGACGGATAGACAGACTTAAATCAATTCGAAATCATTTTCTGAATCGACTGTTATCATAAGCGCTTGTGCATTGCACACGTCCGCACAAAATAATTCGTAATGTACTCTATACCACAAGTGATGTACGATGTAAAAATTTGAAAATTACAATTGCAATCCTTCTCAATAATTTCATACAATACGGTATTCAAGATTCATCTTTAAAGAATTGCAGTTTTTCTTAGTTTTTATTATGCAGAATTTCTAATTTATGTATTTATATAGGTTTTTTTTTTTTTTTTTTGTTAGAAAGTTGAAAGGTTATGTAAAGCTTATGTAGTATAACTACGCCTTTTGTGTATCAACATGAATTCTTGTTTGTTTCTCTAAATTAAATATTACTCTTAAGTTATTAGAATTTTCTTAATACTTTGCTTTTGGTTTGTTGAGCAAAATGCTTCTCTTTTATTGGTTATTTGCCAACATTTTATGAAAACATCTCAGTATTTTTTCATACTTGTATAAATTTCATTTATTTAAACTTATTTGCTTACGAAAGAAGTATAAATAATTGTATAATATCTACACTGTACTCTTGTATTTTTTTGTTTTTAGTTTTTTTTGCATCATTTCTTGGCATTTTATTGATATGAATATTTATACAGCAATATTATATATGCAATGGTATGTAATTATATTTGAAAATTCATTTAAATAATTTCCAACCTTTACAACGCAATATCTATAAAATACATTCACTTATCGTTCCTTTGATTCTGTTTCAAGTATTTTCTTTTTATTTCTTATTTTCTTAAATATAATTTGCACGTATATGCACAGTGGCTGTAGCAACCAACCCTTTGATGTATTAAATTTATAAATAATTCAAAAGGTGTCAAAAATTTGAAGAAAATATTGAAATAAAATTTGCATTAGGGTGAATTTTAAATTTCTATGAACTAAGTGTTTAACACAATATTGTGTCATTGCACTGAATTTACTGAATACTTTTACTACTGTGAGGGTAGGAATTCTTTAACACTGGAACTACCCTATACGTCGTTTCAATAGCGATTCTTATAAAGTAGGTAAAGTTTTAATAATGTTTGTGACTTTTATTTATATGAAAAAAGCCTTTAGAGATTAATAGGGAAATTTTTCTTTGCAAACTAATTTGCAAGTGTCGGATAACATATACGTATACCTAACAAAAGTAATAAACTTTACTCAATTTTTTGTGGGGTGGCTAGAGAGTGCCAAAAATAAAGATGGGAAACTGAAATTTGGCACGTGCTCTTCATAATCGCTTAAGAAAGTGAGATTAAAAAGTGAATGAATGATTTGATTACAGGCGCTCCTCGAAAAACCGACAATTTTTCTTCTAGTTGCCTATAATTCACGATTCTGTAGAAATATTTCAAAAAGCTATTATTCAGACATGCACTGAAAGATTTTTCCTACTGTCACGGTTGTTTTTTTTTTGATGTCATGTGACACGATGATACTTTGTTCCTACTATCAGTTTAAAATGTCCCAAATGGTAAATGGCCCACAATAAGCTTAAATAAGGAAATCGATGTAAACATGTAAACAAACATATATAGTAAAATATGAAGCGTCCCAACCACATAAAAGAGTTATACCCTAATTTTGGCCAAATATAGACGGAGTAAATGGTATGAATATTGACTGAAATCAATAATTTCTTCTTAAGTTCCTACTATTAATATATCGATTAATAACTTGGAGCCTACGGAAAAAAAAACATATTCCTTTTCAAAGCTCAACTTTCTTCATTAGCAAAACCCCGTTCAAGAGTGATTGGATTAGTCGAACTGAAATTACACTTCAGTTTCCGCTGTGACGACATCATTTGATCAAGTTTCTTCTCCTTGAGACATTCTTTTAAGATGTGCAAACAGATTATAGCCGACGGGAATGAAAACTGGAGAATATCATGGACGGTGCAGCCATTTGAATTTCTTTTGGGCGTTGCCAGTGCTCATAATCATCGTAGATTTCATAATAATGAGTATTAGGAAATTGTTGATTTCCAAGGAGAAAGGTTGTCACAAAACTTTTCAAATCAAGGTTGATTTTGAAAGGAAAGAATTTGAAAAAAAAAAACTTTTAAACGTTCGAGCTTTTATTATTACGCTTAATCTATGGAAGTTATGCATTTATATGTATGTGTTTTCAGGTTCTCCGTATTGCTAGTGTGGATAAATATTTATTCTAGTCCGTCCGTGATGTTTGCAAAACCGATAGTATGTCGAACAAGTAAGCCGCCATCCCCTTCTAAAGCGTTCTTTAATAAGAGCGATACGATTAAAAGCGAAGAAAACAAAAAAGGAATAGAGGAAAAGCAAAACTCTTAACTTGATTTGAGATATAATCGATTCAAAACAGTTCTAATGGCCAAATGACAAAGAGTCCGACGATCCTAACTGCCGAGCATTTATTGTTCAAGGACTGAGGTTTGATGCTTCACTAACGCACTAATTGTGCATTCTTTGCGTTTTCCATGCATGAATTTGTGAATTAGCTTCACACCAACACCGAGTATTTTGCTTACCCACTGAACCATTGATATGAAAATGTGTATCATTAATGATGGCGAGTTTTTTAAAAGTATTGCAATAGGTGGACGACGATTAATGGATGATAATTTTCAACATTTATTTTCGTTTATTTACCAAATATCTCCCCATTACAAAATCACAAATCGTGTAACTAACGCAGGCAGCACGATTTTATTGTTTAAAATGTGGCCGCAGTGTCAAGAAGAAATACTACTCCTATTAAAAATCATACGTCATTTATTTCCACAAAATATGGTTCACAAAAGTACTAGCGATCTTTACTTTTATTGCTCAAAAGATTTAAAGACATAAGAAGACTTTCTGGGTTCAATTTTTTTGATTGAATCCGCGAATGCAGTCTGAAGTACTTTCAAAGTTAGCGGCTTAACTAATTCTATAGCAAGGTAAGCAAACATCTATGCACCTTAAGCTACAAAGGAGAAGTGATGATTCTCGATGGACACTACTCTGAATAAAAAAATCTTGCACAACTGTTTACAATTCCATTCAAATTGCCTATCAATGCATAACTCAAACGGCTTATTACCTTAATACACACCCGATACGCTTAACGCTAACTGCACTGCTGCTATACCGGGTGAGTAAATTTAATTCACCTTAAAATGAAGTTTATTATTTAAGTTAAATGATATTTCGGGATAACTAGGAGATTAGACAACAAATCAAATGAAACCTTAAAAAAATTGCGGAAAATCTCTTGTCCCATGTAAAGTTTCCATGCATTTGTTAATCCTCTGCCTTACTTTTTAAATTGAAAAAAAAAAAAAATTATTTCAAAACGTGAGAGAATTGTTAACTGTGCTATTTCTTCGACATTGTTGATTATTGATAAATCTTTTCAATGGTTCCCGAAATTAGAAACTCATCAGAAAACTGTTGAAATTTAACCACACTGAGAACAAGAACAGTACAGTACAGTACGGTTTGCTTACATTAGTTCATTGAAATTATAAGACATTTATTTATTCAACAACATCTCAATGACTTGCAAACTAAATTGGTGTTATATACGGATGAAATGGTGGATATTTGTAAAGAAAATCGTTACAAGTTATGTTGAAAGTTAAAAAGGAACTCTTCATCAAAGCGTTTACTTAAGTTATTCTTTAAAAACACTAAAAATTTAATGGAAATGCAAACGAAATGTAATGGAAAAACTAAAAACTCAAATTACTGACTGTTTGTAAAGAGAAAAATGAAATAACCGGAAACTTTTAGATGTTTCTTGAGTTATTTTGCTGCTTTTGTTATTCTTTACTACATTTCTCCTTTTTTGTTTTTTTCTTGTATGACTAAGTTTTTCTTTCACCAAAACTTGCCCTCATTCTTGCTCTTTTTCTTTTGATTTTATTAAAGTTATTTTTACATGTTTTCATTTTTTTGTTTAAATTTACTTCTCGTATAACCTACAATGTGCTACGAGGTCATACATATTAATTTGACATATTTTTCCTAGAAGAAATAACACATTGCTGAATATTGTTCTA